ATATATATATATATATATATATATATATATATAGTAAGAAAGAAAAATCTAAAAAAAGCATCAGAATATTCATGAAGATAACAATCGTTGAGAATTTGACAAAATGAAAATTATGGGCTGGGTTTCTGTCGTGAGTGTCGATATTTAGATGAGAATTCTAATGTTGGAGGTAGCAAGGTGCTAGTTTTTTAAAATAGTTATGATATCGATGTTTATGAAATGCCTTAAAAATTTAGATAGACATGATGTAACTCAATTAATGGACTTGGCCTGCTGTTAGTTCTCCATCTTTTCCATAAAAGATAAAAATCTTGAAAGATTCATGCTCTATAATATCTTGATAAATAAGGGAAGGTAGGCAAACATGCTTATCTTCTCTTTATCTTTGCTCTCCCCTGTATCAGTTGGAAAGTTGATTTCTTTTTGCTCCTAGTAGAGAAGAATAGGAGATGCAATGGAAGGACAAAACACAAAACAAGAGGGAAATTTAGGAATGAAGCGCACAATTCTTATGTATGTTCATATCTCACGCCTAAACTTTCATATGCACATACATAGCACTTTGGTGCTTCAAACCTATTCATGAAAAAGGCATATTTCATTTTTAAAGAAGTGTTTTTGATGTGATATTAATGATTTGGGTGCAATGTCGAAAGTATAGGTGTGAGATATGCAAGTACATAAGAATCTATGTAACCACCACCACCACCACCACCACCACCACACACAAAAGAAAAAGAAAATGTTTTATGAAAATTGCTGGAAAATAACTTCATGTTGTTGATCTTTACATTTTTAGATTTACCTCGGGTTGAAGACCATTGTCGTGTCATTTGATTAGATTTATTTTGGGCTTATGCCTATTGCAACATTGATTTTGTGTTTGGCTGTGGTTGAAGTCTGACTCAAGTCATTGATTTGAGACTCAACTAGATATTTCTCGTGCCTAGAGCTATAAAAGAACTAGTATATCATCAAACAACTAGATATTCATACAAGGCTCTTTTATGCTTGTTTATTTAAATGATTGAATGAGTTCGAACAAAATTTTTAGAACTCTGCCTATAAAGGAGCAAGCTATAGAACATTGGCTTGCTTGGTTATTTTCATTAATAAGCGTGTTTATTTGTTAAAGAGTAGCTTGTTTGGAGCTTGATAAAATATTTATCTAATAATCATTTTGTCACTTTTTGTTAATTATTCAATATTATTATATAAAATTTTTAATATTTTATTAATTTATGGATATTATTTATATTACTAGAAGGTAAATATGATCAAAATATTGAGCAAATTACTAGATGGACATTAAAAGCTAAATTTAATTTTTTTTATTAATCTTTGATGATGCAAATATTAGTTGTATTCATCAAAAACCAAATTTTTTAAAGAAAAATTATTATCATGCGACTTCTTAGAGCCATATCTTCATAAAATCCTATGCATAATCTTACATACCATCCAACATTTTCCTTTTTATGTGTTAATACTCAATTCAGCCCTCTTATGAGTAATAATTCAAAATTCTTGATTTGTAGGAGGAGATTATTAGAATTTGCCGAAGCATGGGAAAAGCTGTTATTGTGGCGACAAACATGCTGGAGAGTATGATTGTTCATCCAACACCTACTCGGGCTGAAGTTTCAGACATCGCCATTGCAGTTCGTGAAGGTGCTGATGCCGTGATGCTCTCGGGGGAAACTGCTCATGGAAAGTATGGCAATTTCATTTTAGGCTTCGTCAAAGATTTTCTGTTTGGGGCATACATACCACCCAATTCCTATGCATGTACATATCAAACGCCTATACTTTGATTTTTACATTCTTACCACCCAAATCATTCATATCACCACTCTTTTAACTTTTAAATAGTGAAATACATATTTTGATGCTTAGGAAAACCGATATATATGTAAAAATTGAAGTGTAGGTGATAGATATGTAAATGCATAGAATTTTAGTGGTTTGGTATGTAAATCTTTCTTCTGTTTATTATATCTGCAAATATGTTACTTTTCTTTCTTCATACTGCTTTGTTTTCATCAACGGCTAGTTATCATCTGTTGTGCCATTCACTTCAGCATTATAACTGTCCGGGTACTCTGTTTTGCTTAATAATACACTCTGCTGCCTTATTCCTGTATTAGATGCACATGTTTGTTCAGACACTGCCATCTTGTACTTTTTTATTTTTTTTAGGAAGATTTACATACATACCACTCAGTAATTTTGTATTTACATGTATCTCACCCAAAATTCATTTTTTTTGTACCTCCACCTTATCTCTGTATCAAAAGTTGTATTTCACTTTTTAAAAGTTAAAATGGTGATATTTTTGATGTGATTTGAAGGACTTGGGTGGTCTAAATGTAAAAATTAGAACTAGCTGTTAGATATGCAAGTACATAGGAATTCTGTGGTATGTATCTAAATTCCCCTTTTTTTTATTGCTAGATGTAGAGAATTTCATACTGAATTATTAATTATATTTCTAGAGTTTTGTCATTTTCATAAAGCACGTTTCAAAGATAGCATTTGAATCGAAAACTTCATTCAGTAATTCATTTAAGGTGCTGCGCATTTTTACTTCAATCATGCAGGGATTTTTGCAACATGTTTTTTAGAGGAAATATGATGGTTAAAACTTTTTTGCTCTATCTTCATAGAAGAAATTGTTGTGCCCATAATTCTCAATGCCATGTAATTTCACTCATGCTTGTAATTTGTTTGGTTTTCAGTTTAATTGGTTAAATAAAGAACAAAATTGAACCAATAACCAAAAATTAAATATTAATATTTTTAAAATAAAAAAAACAAATAATTTTTTTTAAAAAAATTGAACTGAATCAAACAAATGAGCTGGGTCGTTTCATTTTTCTTTCTTTTTTTTTTCGATTTTGACCAAATAATTAACATCCCTACTTGATAATTCATATTTATATGGTTAACCCTCTCAATTTCGAAAGCCTTGTGTGAATGTTCTTCTAATGTCGTGTTGTATTTGATACTATTTTGTATCTAAAATATCAAGAATTAGAGAAAGCACAACAAAAAATAGGGAAATTAACATAAACATCACACAATTCGTTTATATTTACTTATCTCACGCCTAAACTTTCATATTTACGTACATAGCACCTTGGTGCTTTAAACCTATGCATGAGAATGCATTACTCTTTTAAAAAGTGCTAATGATGCTATTTTTATATGATATTAAAGCTTTGAGTGCTACACGTGTAAATATGAAAGTTTAGATATGAGATATGTAAATACATAAGAATTTTGTGCTTATGTAAATGCCCCTGAAAAATAACTACTCTCAAATCAAAGTAAGTTTTGGTCATCGGTTTTTTTTTTCAACACAATGACGCCTTGTTTTGATATCATGTAGATTCCCGCTAAAAGCGGTTAAGGTCATGCACACAGTAGCTTTAAGGACTGAAGCAACTATAGCTGGAGGAGAAAAACCAACTAATCTTGGACAGGCTTTCAAGGTTTGTAGTTGATTTTATTTTGGAAGATTTTTATACATACCACTCAATTCCTATGTATTTACAACTCTAACATCTAAACTTCAATTTTTACATACATACCACCTTACCTATGTATGAAAAGGTGTATTTCACTTTTTAAATATTAAAAATGTGGTTTTTTTATGTGATTTGAAAGATTTGGGTATAAATGTAAAATTTAAGTTTTGGATATGTAAATACATTGGTATGTATGTAAATGCCCTGTTTTTATTTTTCGCTGCTATAATTATTGTTTTCCTCCTTTTTCTTTTTTTTTTCCTCGACGAATACCACATTTTAGCTGAGCTCTTCTTTTTTCATGTAGAACCACACAAGCGAATTGTTTGCTTACCATGCAACTATAATGTCAAATACTCTTGGAGCATCAATTGTCGTCTTCACGAGAACTGGATTTATGGCAATCCTTCTCAGCCATTACCGGCCTTGTGGCACCATATTTGCTTTCACCGATCAGTGCGTATCACAGTTCAAGTTTTAAATGCGCTAGCATTCATGAAGCACATTTTGTTTTAGGATTTCGTGTTTGTACAAATACATTTTGGGGGCATTACATTATTAGCACACAATTCTTATGTATTTACATATTTCACACCAAAGTGCTATGTGTGTAGATATGAAAGTTTAGGTGCGAGAAATGTAAATACATAAGAAATTTGTGCTATGTATGTAAAAGTCCCTGCATTTTATCTTAGTTCTCTTCGTCTAATTGGTTCTGATATTTTGCGGACTGACCATGGCGTTCATTGGCCATTTAGGGAGAGAGTGAGACAGAGGTTGGCCTTGTACCAAGGGATTTGTCCTATATATTTGCAGTTCTCTGAAGATGCGGAAAAGACGTTCACAGAGGCCCTTTCCTATTTGCAGGTAATTTAAGTTTCATGCTTCTTTTATCTCCTCTGGGGGTGATTTTAATTTCATGGTCACCAAAATAGGACTTCTAATTATCAAATCGTAGACTTTTATAATAATAGAAGCTTCAGCTTATAAGTTTTTGGAAGATTTTCATACATACCACACAAATCCTATGTATTTACATATCAAACACCTCTATTTTGCTTTTTATATTTGTAGCATTTTATTTATGCATGGAAAGGTGTATTTCACTTTTTAAAAGCTAGTTTTACTATATTTTTGATGTGATTTGAATGATTCGAGTGACCTATACCTTAGAGTTTAGGTGTTAGATATGTAAATACATCAATATATATGCCATTTAGTTTTATGGACCTCAATTCTGGATGTTTGGACCTTTTTTAGTTCTTGAAAAAGTATTCATACTTCAATATTATTAAATGGTTAGCACAGTTTCTTTGGTAAATAAATTATTTTAAATTTTGAAACGAAGCTTCTATGAACATTTTTTCCTCCACTGTTCTTTAATTATACAAATGGTTTTGATAATACTGGAGATAAACCAAATAATAATAAGAAAATAAAATATTATTATGGAAAGTAAATAGGAGATTGCAGCCAAATACACTCAAACTAGGCTCCGAGCTAGGGATGATGGTGTCCGGCTAGGTGGATTGGACAGGGTGTTAGATGGATGGAATGGTTGGATGGGTGTGGGAGGGGGACAGTTACTGTAAGTAGGGGTTTAGGGAGGGCTGTTTTGGGGCAGCAGCAGTGTAGGACGGTTGGGAGAGCACGGAGAACAGTAGCTTGGCTTTTCTAGTGACGGCAGTGAGGGGAAAGGGGATGACGGCAAGGGGGCAGCGGGCAGGGACTGCAGGGACAGCAAGATAGGAAGCAATCCCAAGTGGCAGCAAACCTGGATGATGGCTGGAACGGCATAAACAGCAGGATGGGCTGCCGTTCTGGGCAGCAGTGCAGCAAAGGAAGTAGGCAGGAAGCGATGCCGAAGGGTTGGACTAGACAGGGATAACAACTATTTGCTGTCCCGGATGGTGGTAGCAAGTAGAACAGCAGATGGTGCCACTGGGAGATAGAAATCGCAGGAACAACCAAGATAGAGGCTCCAACTGCTGCAGCAAGAGAGAGGTGTGGCAGTGAAACGAGAGGGACGCTGAAGGTTTGGGAAAGTGTAAATCGCCACCTCGGAAGCGAGATAAAGCCATGACACCAAAGATTAATCTTAAAACATTACAAAAGAGAATACATAATAGAAAGGATAATTAGGAAAAGGACCGGCCGATTCCTTAGAAGGAAAAAAAAGCTGGGCTGGTGTGGTCCAGGCAAACACGCGGGAGGTGCTCGATCGCAGGAGTCCTACGTAAAAAGCCACGGGAAACATCCATGTCATGGAAATTAGGAAATATTTTCATGTTTGTTTGTGTGTGTGTGTGTGTGTGTGTGTAAGAAATTCCCTAATATTGACTAGATCTTTCTAGGTTGTTATATAGGTTTATCCTTATGGTGTTCTGTTAAACTATTTAGGGTGAGTTGCATGCATACCACTCAATTTTTTTTTGTATTTTCATATCTAACACCTAAATTTAATTTTTTACATATATTTCACCTTACCTATCCATGAAAGGTGCATGTCATTTTTTTTAAAGTTTAAATAGTGATATTTTAGATGTGTTATGAAAGCTTTAGTTGATATAATTGTAAAAATAAAATTTAGGTGTTACATATATAAATACATCAACCATAGCCATTGTGGCTTTTTGGTTAGCAGCGTTTGTAAGACTGGGGTCACGGGTTCGAGCCTTGCCTCGAATTTGTCACATGAGGTTGGTTGGGGGGTCCGTCCTCTTGCCAATCTTAAAAAAAAATAAAAATAAAAAAGTATGTTTATTGTTTTTGCTAATTAAGCGCCATCTAGTTTACATGCTATAGTTATCATTGAATCTATAAATATATAGATGTAGATAGAAGATTGAGAACATTTTTTTCATTGTTAAACTAGAGAAATATTTAAAGAATGTGATAATAATATTTCGTAGAATTGAAACTAATTTTTAGATCGACTATGATATATGACCATGGTGATGAGCATTAAAAAAATGGGGCATTTAAATACATAGCACCCAATTCTTATGTATTTACATATCGCACACCTATACTTTTATATTTACACACATATCACTCAAATTTTTATTTTCACATAAAAAGTAGCACTACTTTCTCTTTTTAACAGTGAACACACCTTTTTATGCATAGGCATAGGCTTAAAGAACCAAAGAGTTTAAAGAACCAAAGAGTTTTTTTTTTTTTCAAACGTAAATATGAAAGTTTAGGGGTGAGATATGTAAATACATAAGAGTTATGAGCTATGCATGTAATTTCCCTAAAAATTTTTTTCATGATTAATTTCAATGCTAGAATGTGACAAAAAAATATGTAATGAAATTACAAAGATATGGTGAGAACTAATTATATAAGGCATGACAATAGTAGCACCTATGGATGATATAATATTTAAAAATAGATTTTAGTGGTTTTAACATGCTTAATAAGAAAATAAATATACCAATAGGTTGGATAAATAGAAATAGTATAGAAGGAATTGTAAGCAGGAAGGATAGGCCTAAGCTGTCATGACTAAAAAAGTTCTGCAGAAGAATTGTAGGTTCATTGGAGTTTGTATGCAATATTTACTGAAAGGAGCATTTACATACATACCACACAATTTTCGTCTATTTACAAATATAGCACCTAAATTTTTACTTTTTTACGTATATAAGCACAAATCTTTCATATCAAATAAAAATACCACTATTTTAACTTTTAAAAAGGGAAATACACCAAAATTTGTAGTTTAGGTGTTAGATATGTAAATACATTAGAATTAAGCGGTGTGCATGGTCAAAACCTGGACTTGAATCTATTTGTAATCTCTACTTTGGAGAATCTAAGCGCGGATTGCTCGAGTTAGAGCTCTTTAATAACTAATTAACTCTATGTCAAACAATATGGTCGATGCATTTTATTTTTTATCTTTTAGGATAATTTTTTTAATGGATAGAAATATCTCACACTTGAGTTAAGAAAAAGTAGGACAAAGACCCGAGAGAGGCAATTATAAATGAGATTTTATGTAGGGATCGAATAAATATTTATTTAAAGAAGGCCAAATCACGTATTTGGATCTTTCTGTAAGTTCAACTTTGAGAGCATATTGCTTGAGGTAGAGCTCTTTGATTTCAAATATAAAAGCTTAAACCTATTGGTTGCCTTTGTAGTGAAGAGGGCCAAGATGCATGAACTAAAATTATATGGTGCATTTACATACATACCATACAATTCCTATGTATTTACATATCAACACCAACATTCATATGTATATGCATACGACTCAAATCTTTAACATCACATAAAAAATGTGATAATTACTATTTTTTTAAAAGTGGAACACATCTTTTCATGTATTTATTTATAACACCCAATATAACTTCTACATTTTTCGTTTTATTTTTATTTTTATTTGAGCTACATTCTGTTTCATTTTATTTCATAATTCATAATTTACATTTGCTAAACATATCTTTGATTTTTAATAAGTTATGCCAATTATTATTATTTATTAAATAACTTAAACTTTTAAAAGATTCATTAATAATTATTAGAAATTAGGTATTATATAATTTCAATCGAGTCTAGAAAAATATAATTAAATAAAATTACCTTAGTTCTTCATGCTTGGTTGCCTCTTCCTTCTTCTACCGCCCACGAGCTCTCTTCCTCCCATTCGAAAGAGCTAGGAATTTTATTTCCCTAGAGCGCAGGCTCATTCGATTGATCCTTGTTGAACTCACATCTCATCCGCTATTTTTTCCTGCTTCGATTGCTCTCAATTTGTTCTGCTTGGAAACCATGGAAGTTGTTTTATCGTCTTCACCTCCTCGACGACGTCACCTCCTTTGGCTTTGATCACCGGCTTCATCACACACATCAAGCTTTAATTTTCTCGTGATGTCTCCTCTCCTGGCTTTGTCTCTCGTAGGTGAGTCTTCCTCTTCTCTCACATGACACCTCTTGCCTCCTCTTTCCTTTAGACACGAAAGCCCCCCCCC